TCACACCCTAATGTGATGGCATTTGAAGGTGGGGCTTGGGGAGGTTTCAGTTTTAGTTGTGATCATGAGGGATGTTATTCTATGAGGAGGAGACAAGAGCTCCTCTCTTTCCACTTTGTGAGGACAGTGAGAAGGTGGAGTATCCATCCAGGAAGAGGGCCAGAAATCAAATATGATCTTAAGCTACCCAGACTGCAAAAATCTGAGAAATAAATGAACATTGCTCAAGCCTCTCAGTCTATATTTTGTTATAGTAACCTGAACTGACCATACCAGCACCACCATCACAATCACCATCAAAAACTTAAAAGCAAAACAAACAAATGAACAGGAGATTATAAAATACAAATTTTACCTCCCACACTGGAAGAAGATTTTCAAGTAGATTTGAATTTATAAGAAGTTACTGAGAGGAGTAGTTAGAAATCCTGAAGTAAATCTATATATTTATTGAAGTTAAAAAAGAAAACCTCAGGGCCAGCAGGTGACATGGTGGTTAAGGTGCTGGACTCTCACATGGCTGACTATGGTTTGAGTCCCAGACCCAATGGCTTGTGTGGATGTGTGTCCAAAATCCCAAGAGGAGAAGAGATTGCAACGTGCCATCCCTCATTAGGGGGTGATTTCTCACTTTCCCTCTGTCTCCTGGGTCTCTCTGGTGAATGCACATGCCCCATGACAAAAACCCTAAAAAAAAAAAAGAAAACTTTAATAGACAGGAAAAGTATAACTAAGATCAAGAAGAAAGTAACAAAAAGTTGCATGAAACAGATTTCATTCATGTCAAAGTATTTGTGTGTTGCTTAAGGTTCCCCTGAGTAGTAGGAAGTAAGAAGGTACAGAATTTTTTTTTTAAAGAAAATAAAATAGTTACCTGTTTAACAAGCAGCTTCCATATGGGTTGGATTTCAACCTCAATGGCATTGGGCCCACACACTAATCTTCTGGAAGAGATTGACCATCTTATTAGTATCAGACCTATAAGCTCAGTGATAAGTAACTACAAACCCAACTAAACAAAAGTCGCTTGTTTACTCTAGAGATTTTTGTGGCTTTGAATAAAAATAATATGCACGTACTAAACTATTAACATGTTTTTAAAGTGAAAGTGCATTATCGACAAAGTTGTTTTTCTGGTTTACAAATATCGTTAGCAAAATACAACTCTAAAGAGTTAAAATGAGGTTAGGCATTTGGAGTTATTTTTAAAATAATTTGACTATTGTCTAAGAACAGCTACAAAGACAGATATAAAGATATTCCTGGACTTGCCCGGCATCTAGATTGTCCCTGACGGTATAGATTATGTCTGTCTTTATTTGACATCTCCAGCACCTAAAACAGCCTTAGTGTGTGACCTACTGGGTTGTCAGAAATGTCATGACACATTTTTGCATAGAAACACAGAAAAAAATATGTCATGACTTTTCCAACAACCCAATGAATAAATGCATGACATTAATGGATAAGCAAATGAACTGGAAGGTGATATATAGTCATCCTGGGTAACACCCTATAAACGTATACATTACCTCTAAGATGTAATACACATGAAACTTCCCATAAGAAGTCCTCTCGTTTCTGTAGTATTTTACAATTTACAATTTCTTACTAAAGATTCATTTAAACCTCATGAAAGTACAAAGAAAAGAGCTAGTATCCCCTTTTTGCCAATAGGAAAATCTACTCAGTGTGGGTGTTCAGAAAAAGGTGTATACGTCTAATTCCAATCATGACAATGTAATCGGTAAGCAGAGATATCACTTAACCTTTCAGATGCATTAACTTTTTAAATCATTACATTATCCCTATGAGCTTTTATATTATTGTCTACTGTGAAGAAAGCTTAGAAGTTCAGGTAAACTAGGTAACGGTCCCAGGGTCTCAGAGCTGGGAGGCAGAAGCAGGCTTCATACCTCAGTCTCAGTGATTCCACTTCACAACTCTGCTTCAGAAGTACCCGGAGGGAGAGTCACACACAAGAGCTTTGGTCTCACTGAGCCACACAGAGAGCTGAGCCCAAGGCCACCTGACTTCTCGGCCATGCTTCCAAATGACAGAAGGAGACAATCTAATGTCCTTTGACTCCATGCTGCAAAACCCTGGGGTTCAAGGATATCAGGAGGCAGAGAAGAAATGGCTGTGCTGCCATTGGATTTTGTAAGTCCCTAAACCTCACACTGAAGAGAGACCTCCCAACTCAAACCACTTTGATGCTCCATAGTCTCTTCCAGAAATAGTGACGATAATCTGTTGTTGGTTGTCAAACTTTTCCATACCCCAAACTGGGTCTTCCCTATCCTTCTCTCTACTTGGAATGCCCTTCCCACATTCTTCACTGTGTAAACCGACTCAGCCTTTGAGAGTTAAATCTGGCAATCAAATTTCATGGCTGAGAAATAGGAGATTGAACAGACCTGGGCTGGAATCCAGCTAAGTGTTTTGTTTGTTTGTTTTTATTGCCAGGTACTCACCAGAGAGAGACCCAGCAAGAGGGGAATAAAGCATGCCCCAACTCCAGTGGGCTGTGGTCACACCACGATCCTTTCTCCATTTCTCCAACCTGTCATGATTTGGGGCATGCACACGCCTGTGCCCTATGTATTTTTCAAGCTGCCAGGATAAGATTTGGACTATGGTCATCTATGAAAGATCCAGCTTCCTTTAAAACTAGGCTATGGGGCCAGTCCATGAACTAGCTAAGCCTTTGCACTTGTTGTTCTCTCTACCCGGAACCAGCTTCTCCCACAGTTTTGCATGGCTGGCTCCTTTGTTTTATTCAGGTCTCTGCTAAAATAGAACCTTCATATTGGGGCCTTACAACTCTATTCAAAAAAGCTACCCCAACTCTCAACTCAGATTCGTTTTACCCTCCTTAGCCCACCTTATTTTTCTTTATTATATATATATATGTGTGTGTGTGTGTGTCACACACACACAAACACACGCAAAATTATATATATAATTTATGTATATTTATATGTATAAAATTACCTCAGATTACACAGTATAGTTTACGTTTTCATTAGCGTGCAAACAATAGAGTATATTTTCCACTATAATACAAGCTTCTGGAGGACATAGATATATCCTGGATGCCTAAATCAGGGCTTAATACATATACTTAAAATGTTTTGTTGTTGAATGAATGAATGGATGGCTGAATGAGGAGTGAGCCTCAATTTCCTCATCTGAAAAATAAGACATGCCTGATACAATTGCTATCAGTAGTAAATGGAATGAATACATCATTTAGCACACGTGTCCAGGACATGGCAAGTTCTCAAAGAATGGCGGCTATCTTCGACATTGTATTCCTTCCAGCACGATTAATATTTTTTTCTCTTCAAACAGCAATTTCCTTTCTTACTAATAGTACTTGCTTCCTAAGATTACGACGTGTATTTACATATCGTTCTCCTGAAAGGAACCAGATCCTCTCTAAAGGCAAAATGGAGCTTTCTTCAACTCTGTCTTTCTAGCATCTAAGAGCACAGTGTCTGACACAATGGGTGCTCCCTCAATATTGATTAATTAATGAAAATCTCTGTGACCCGTCTGTAGAAGACTCGGTTCCCCACAGAGCTGAAAATCCAGTTTACACAACAAAGACAGTACACAGGGTGTGGAAATCCAGTTAGAAATCAAGCCTCGGGTCTGAGGCTCTTCAGCTCTCCCTGTCTGATAAGATGGTTTTTCAAATTACCATTAGTGAAAAGAGCTCAGATCCCATGACTATTAGGATCCAGTGGATCAATATTTGCCTGAGGATTAACGTCTTAGGGCTCACTTGAGTCATATTTAAGTCATTGCTGTTTTGTCTTTTCTACTGCTGTTTCTTCCAAAAACATGTTTGGGGATGGTTCGCCCATGTCAATCTCAGTGCAAGTCAAGCAGAATTTTCAGTGGCACTGACTGATGGCCGAGCAACCAGAAAGAATATGAGGCCTGAAGCTGGGTCACAGGAGCCAAGGTCCAAGGAATAAAGGAGATGACGTTCCCTAACTACAAATCTGACCAGCTGGCAGGAAAAGGAGGCCCTAGAACTGCTCCACGTGGCCTCACAGAACATAAGCCAAATAAAATTAAGTAGTCTTGCCTGATATACAAAATTCATTAGGGGAATCCTTGCTTCGGAGGGAGACAGTCCCTCTTTGGAAGAAGTTGAACGATTTCTCAATAGGAAACTTGTAGAAGGAATTTTTGCACTGACTATGAGCTGGATTTGAGGGATCACTGGGTTTTCCTCCAAATCTGAGATATTAGTAAATCTTCTGGCTATATTTGAAGGAAATGTGAATAATTAGAAGTACTTTTATTTTGGGAGTGGTCCATGTGCCTTTTCAGTCTGCTTACTTGTTCATTTATTCATTCATCAATTTATTCACCAAATAATTGTTGGGAATATGTTGTGTGGTGGGCACTGTAGTCCCCAGGAGGTGAGGATCAGAGTGGGAGTCCATACGGAGGAAGAGGAGCATGTTAACGAGACTGACGAGCTTTTTGCAAACTACACACAACCCCTCTGCCTTTTGCTGACTGCTTCCATTCTGATAAGCTTCCAAAGGGTCTCTGACAGGGCAGCACCCTATAGTTTTCCAACTGGTCAGTGCCAGGCCAGGAGATTCTGCATAACACACTCCCAGATTTGGATGTTTTTAGGGAGTTTGAGAAAGTTTCTGGGTGATTCTGCTAGCCAATATCCCACCCCCCCTGGCCCTCCTGCTTTGTAAAGGAAGCCAGACCCAAGATAATCAAGAAAGCGTGAAATGAGACACCCAACTTCTGGGATTTGGATGTGGTTGCACAGCATATGAGGTGGGTTGGTATTAGAGCTCTCCCACTGAAAAAGAATATACTAATAATGAGATTGGTATGACTGGAGGCATTTCTTTCTGAGGGGAAACCTCTCTGTTTTAGCAGAGCTTGAACCTGCTTGCATACTTCAGTGAAACATTTATATAGGGACGCTTTGTTTCAAAAATGGCATGAAAGTCACTTTAGTTTTCCACATCGTCCTTTTCTGTTACCTGTCCATTTCTTTCATTTTCTAAATTGCGTATTTCCAGATAGCCTCAGGAAGAGTCGGACTCTAACAGGATTTCACTCTCTTTGTGTGAGCTAAGCGAGGTGCTTCTGGCCAGCTTTTAGGAGAGAGTACCTGAGCACTCCTCTCAGGCTCGGGGATCTGGAAGGGAAATGAGCAGGAGGGCACTGGGAGTGGAGGTGGGGGTACAAAGAAATTCGAGGCCCTCTCTCTCGCCAGAAGACGTACGTGGACGGATGCCTTCTAGACCCATAGAATCGGGGTCTGATCATTCCAATTTAGCAAAAAGAGAATGTTGATAGTAGTTTTTAAAATTTTATTAAATGCCTTATGCATTAAATTTCAAAGAAAAGCCATATGTATTGCTTTTTTTTTTTTCTTCATTATTTAGTTTGCCAGAAGGCCCATGTACTCACTTGAGAGAGATGGAGAAAGAGAGAAAGTGAGAAAGCACCCCCACGGTGAACAGCCATACTGCAATCCCTCCTCCTCCATATCGCCTTCGGGAATTTGGGGCATGCACGCATGCACACCTGTATGTTCTTCAAGCCTCCACGTCTGGGACTCAGATGCCTAGTTGACCATGTGGGATCTAAACCTTTATCCACCATGCTACAGCTGGACTTGCGTGTGTCATATTTTTAAGTACCATTTGTGACTGAGCTGTTTTCTATGGGTGGACATATCAAAGGGGTCTAAGTATATAAGCATATTTTCTTTTTCTCGCTTTTGCTCCCCCAAGGCCTGAGGAATAAGAGTGTCAGGTCTTGGAGCCAGCAGATGGAGTAACGGTTATGCTGCTGGACTCCCATATGGCCGACTATGGTTCGAGTTTCGGACCTGGTAGCTTCAAACTCACACTGGGTGCATGTACATGCGTGCCCAGGATTCCAAGAGGAGAATGGAGGAGAAGGGACTGTGGCATGTCCATCCCCCGTTGGGGGTGATTTCTCACTTTCCCTCTTACTCTCTATTTCTCTGTCCCTGTCTCTCTCCCCAGTGAGCACATGAGCCCTAAGACAAAAAACCTCTAAACACAAAAAGAATGTCAGGTCTCAGCAGTCCCAACGTCTCTCTCTCCTTCCTGCCTCCTTCTCATTTATTCTTCCTCTTCTTTGTAATATTCTGTCTTCTCATGGAAGAGCTTCTGCCAGCTGGGAGCTGCCCACTGATGGCTAACCTAGCCTCTTTTGCTGCCTGCCACTTGGATCCCTCTTTTTGTGGTATGGACAGGCATGCCTTCTTTCTCAAAGGTGCAGCAAAGGTTAGAAATTAAGTTTGACCTACAGAATCACCAAGCTGGTGGTGAGTGTCTCTTCCCAACTTCTCACTCAGTGATGTTACACTGGGGGCTTAAACTGGCCATGGTTGGAGCATTCCCACCATACAAACTAGTAAGCTCTATGCATCAAAGCTCAGTTCCTGGGACCAGCAGTTTGTGTAATGGCTATGTCGTTGGACTCCCATGTAGTCAACCACAGTTCGAGTCCCAGACCCGGTGGCTTAAACTCACACCAGGTGTATGTGCGTGAGTGTCCAAGATTCCAAGAGGAGAATGGAGGAGAAGGGATTGCAGCATGGCCATGCTTCTGGGGGGTGATTTCTCACTTTCTGTCTCTCTGTCTCTCTCTGTCTTTCTGGCGAGCGCATGCACCCTATAGCAAAAATCTCTCCAAAATAATAATAATAAAAAAAGCTTGTTTCCTTTCAGAGAGTTGGTCACCAGAAACATGATTGGTCTAGTGCTGACCTGAGGCAGGGGTCTGCCATCTCTGCTTCTAGAACATTTCTCTCTCTCAGGAGCCTGAGCAAAGAGGGAGGAGCAGTAATGGGCATGAAGAATGTGAAGAGATGCTCAACTTGAACACTGCCCTGAGAAGAAGACTACTTGGCTAGAAGAGGGATCGGGTCATTTGTTTCTTCCCTACAACCAGCCCTGTTTTTGTGAGATAAAAGAATGACCTCATGTTTCTATGGACCTGTCTAGGTCAGATCCTAAAATGGTAAGTTGAGTTTAAACCATGATGAGTGAAGGTAGAAACACAGAACCTCCTGGAACAATTCGCTTGCTTTCTTCCTGACGCTTCCTGACAATTTCTCTCTGGGGTAAAACTCTCTCTCTGGATATCTTGACATGCTTCAGCTATTGGAAAAGTGACTGCTAGGAAGCACACAGAGAAGTTTGCATTTAGGCTCTGCAGCTTTTCTTATAGAAGTTCTTCCGGATCCCACTCCTATTTCTCAGATTGGGTCTTTGCAAAATAAGGTAAGCAAGCTCAAGTTCATTTAGGAAATCGGTGGGGTATCACCCAACCAATAAATTTAATTTTTTAGAGAAGGTTTGGTCTTACTTTTAAAAATGAAAGGGAAAATGCTCCCCACTGTATTTATTCTCATTTTATCCTCCCGATAGACAAGCTTATAAAATAAAGTATGCTTAGATATATAAATAGGTTATCTCCTCTATTCTTCATATTTGGGAAAGTATGCTCTTTGTCTTACTTATTAGATTGTCAAGTTCTTTATTGTATGGACCAGATTTAAATTTAATTATGTATGATGTTGATTAAAGCCTGGCACTTGATAGGTTAGGACAAACGTGAGGTAGCTACACTGATGGGAAATCTCTGCCGTGGAAACGGTTTCCTAGGCAAAACATATCTACATCAATCAGCTAAATTTCCTAAATGCCCTCGATCAATCCTTTAAACGTCTTGTGCTTGGTGCTGTTAAACCAATACAGTTTTAATGACTTTGAAAACTTTTCGCATTTCAATGTATTAAACATCTCATCAGACATTTCATAGAATGACACAATTTCTAAGGCATTTTGCAATATTGTCCTTGTCTAGATGCCTGGTTCATTTTTCATAGAGTTCTAGTAGAAGGGAGACTTAAAGACAACAGAGCAGTAATTTTTAGGCTTGCCGTCCATGAGAACGAGGGAGATGGCTTGTTGAAAAGGCAGAGTCCTTTGTCTTACAAGTACCCCTTGCTTCTACAGAATTTTCAAAATCGTGGGAATGGAGCTGAAAACCTACACTTTAAGTACCAGCTTACTCCTTAGTTTGAGAATTAGTTTGTCCAGCTGACTGCGAAAAGGTTAGGCAGGTAATGTCCACTAACAATAGTTGAGAAATAAAGGTAATTTTTAAGACTCTGGGGAATACTTGCCATGGTTTCCTTTCAGACTCAACAGAATTCACCAATTCAAATAGTAGTTGATAAAGCAGGCGATCTACACTCTTTGAGTTAATAAATGGCATTCGCATTTCCTAATCTATGCCAATCTGTAGATGTCAGTCTCGTGATTGTATTACTGTTTTTGTCCCTGTCCCACCAGGCGGTGAATGTCTCTGGGACAATGACTAAGTCTTTATATTTACATTCCTAGTTGCTTGCAATATATCTGACATATTAAAGAAATTTACTTAAAAAATAAATAAATACATTCGTTTATTCTCCAAATATCTACTGAGTACATGAATCGGGCACTGTCGTAGGTGCTGCAGACAGGTGAAAAACACACTAACAAACAAAATCCTCAGCTCTAGGGCTGTTTACCCATACTATTGTCTTTCTGACTCTTGGAGGATTTAGAGGATTAAGAAGTCGACGTTTGTGGCATGACTCGTTATTTTTCGATGAAAGAATAAAAATGACAACACAAGGAAGACTTTTCAAAAGCCCAAAAGAAAAGATCAGATGTTATCAGGCTGCACTGCTCTCTTAATCTTTTCTTTTTAATAAGTTTGCCTATGAGGGGAACAATTGAGAATAGCTCTGTGATGCAAGTCGATGAAGCATGACGCCAACTGTGCACAGATGTTAATCCATTGATACTTCATATTTTGCTCACCCAAATTACTCACAATTGTGCTATCAGTCCTACCTGACCTCTTGTTCTTCGCTGGTCAGACCCAGTCCGAACGTATGATGTATGTCGTAGCAGGAGTTGCTGTCTTCTAGCAATCTAGGACGTGGCCAGGACAAGAACCACAGTGCATTCAGTTCCCGGCCCCACGCATCAGTGTTCCTCCCCTCCATCTAATGTAGTGGTGAGAAAAAGCCAGCCTTACCCAACTTTCTGAAACTGCTTCTCCACGGTGTTCCAAACATACCTAATTTTCTGCACGTGGATGCATCGCAACTGCAATTACAAGCGAGATAGAACAGGTGTCATTCACGAGGTAAAGCCATTCAAGGAAGGGAAGAGTTGTTCAGCTTAGGTCCCAAACTGGGCCTCACTTTCTTTAATGCAAGCTACCATCCCAGCCTGACAGTATGATATTCCAAACTTTCATTCAGTAAACTTCTAATTTCTTTTTTTTCTCTACAAACATGCCATAACATTACTTTAAAAAAAAAAAAAAAGAGGCTTTTGCCTTAGGGCATGTTCACTCAGAGAGCGAGAGAGAGAGAGAGAGACAAAGACAGTGAGATGGAAAGTGAGAACTCACCCCTCAGGAGACATGACCACACTGCAATGTATTTTCCTCCATTCCCCTCCTGCCAGGATCTTGGGCACATATGCACATGTGCCCAGTGTGTTTTAAGCCACCGGGTCTGGGACTCGAACCATGGTCAGCCATGCTGGAGTCCAACAATGTAACCACTACACCACCTGATTGCCCCAACATTGCACTCTTAAAATCACTTACTTTTAATTCTGGCTTCATTACAGCTTGGTTTATGACAGAGTGACCGTCAGTCACCAGGGGTTCTTCTGGGTTCTTGCTTATGGGAAACTTCAGTGTGGCTAAGTAGAGGCAGAGTACCTTCTTACACATATATCTTTGAAATTCATCCTAGAAAACACAATTCAGACCATGAAATTCTCAAGTTTTATTCAGTACTGTGCTTAACCAACCAAATACCTATCAAGTATTGTTGTTCCCAAAGTTTGGGACAAAAGGCATGCCTGTCCATACCACAAAAAGAAGAAACCAAGTGGTAATCTAAAACTTTGTTCCAAACAAGAGCATTGACATTATCTCAGAACTTCCCCAAAATGCAGATTCTCACGCCCACCTGAGACCTACGAATCAGAAACCCTGGGGGTGAAGTGTGAGGTCCAATGAGTCCTCCAGGTGATAATGATTTGCACAAAAGTTTGAGAACCACTAGAGAATAAAGGGAAAGATACGCTTTTCAGGACAACTCATGAGGGGGCTCCAAAAAAGGTCATGGAAAAATGAAATTAAAGTACGGATTTATTTTGGTGCAAATTTTGTTTTGAAATCTGTGTGACGTTTTCTTATAATTTTTGAAGACACCCTCTCGAAGATACAGGAAATATAAATGAGGGCCTGTAGGCAGCTTAGTGATTGAGGTGCTGGACTCCCACATGACCAGCTGTGGTTGGAGTCTGAACATGGTTGCTTGAAACACACTCTGGATGTGTGTGTGTGTGTGTGTGTGTGTGCGTGTCTAAGATCCCAAGAGGAGATGGAGGAGAGGGGATTGCAGCATAGCCATCCCCTGGAAGGGTGCTTTCTCTCCTTCCCTTTCTACCTCTCTGATGAGCACATGCACCCTATGGCAAAAAAAAAAAAAAGAAAATAAAATCAACAACAAACTGAATGACCATTCATTTCTGTGTTATAGTCTGTAAGAGTTTAACACTGACACCCATAGCGCATGTGATGGTAAAAATATTGCTGATTACCCTGATTTGGTAGAAATTTCCCCAGGCTGAAGTGGAGGAAGCACCCTTCATTCCCGGCTCAAAGTAAGAAAGAGTAAGTGGATTGTAGAGGTAGTTTTGCTATCGCTTACTATGGTTTGCAGACCGTCTTCTGGAATGCTGCCTAAGAATCATTGCGGAAGACATGATCATGGCGTTTTAAATAGATAACGAAAAGGCACACACCGTAGTCCTCAGCAAAACGGTGTCTGCTTCTTGCAAGGGGCACGGGATGCAGTTGGCCCACACCCTCCACTGGGGCCGCCAGTAGAACACCAGCGGAAGGGCCCCACAGGTCAACGTGGACGCAATGAGGCAGAGGGCTCGCCGCAGATTCTGGGTGTGGTAACCAAACACCTCCTGCAGAGCAAATGAAAGATCACTCTTCTTTTCACACGTAAGCATATTATTTTGTTTCGAGAAACACAAACTGTAGATGTCGATTGGGGAGAAATATGATTTCAGTTGGCTGAATCAGGTTGGTACTTAAAGCTGTCAGCTGATATTAATAAAAAGAAAGGAAGACTCTTTTTACTGCCCTGGCAAATAGAACTAAAACGTTAGACAGGAGGAGCAAAAATAGGGTGAATTTACTTGCTTCTGCATACTCATAAGAGTCTCCTCAGGGAACCAGTAGTTGGCATAATGGCTATGTTGCTTGCTGGACTCCCATGTGGTTGACCGTGGTTCAAGTCCCGGATCCAGTGGCTTAAACTCATGACAGGTACATGTGCACACATACCCAAGATCCCGACAGGAGAATGGAGGAGAAGGGATTGTGGTGTGGCCGTCCCTGCTGGGGATGATTTCTCACTTTCTGTCTCTCTGTCTCTACCTTTCTGGCAAGTGCGCGTGACCTATAGCAAAAAACTCTCAAACAAACAAACAACAAAAAAAAAAAACCAGTCTCCTCAGATTTTTATAAAATACCCCATGTTTTGAGCTAGATTTATACTTTTTAGGCATGAGATTTAAAAAAAATAATAATATGAGTCTATTAGACAAAGACGATAATGTTACAGTATGATCCACACTCATACATCAACCTTTACCCAGATTCAGCTTTGTTTTATAATAACATAATTGAAAATGGTGGCTGGCAGGTGGCCTGGTGGTTAAAGACCCTGGATTCCCACATGGGCAGCCACGGTTCCAGTCCTCGACCAGGCAGTCCTCGACCTTGCTTTCTCGCTTTCCCTTTCTCTCTCTCTCTCTGTCTCTCTGGTCAAATTAAAAATTAATAATAATAATAA